CCTCTTTCTCACCCGACGCCGATGCCCGCACCTTCTCTTCCTCTCGTGCCCACGCGTCGCCGTCGCCTGTCCACGTGCTGCCAGTCTTCGGTAGTGCTGTGGTGGTTGTCGGCCATATTCCAATGCCGCCGGTGACTGCTGCTGCCCCTAGCCTGAGCAGTTTCTTCCCCTCTCCTCTCCCTTCCTTGTTTGAGAAGATGGAGCACGGAGATAATGACCAAAGGGGGAAAAGAAAGATGGATGAGCAAAGAGACAAGGATCCACCTCGCCTTGGTTGAGGGAGGTCAACAGCAGTAGGAAGTAGTGCAGCTCCAAGGGGACTTGGTGATAGGAGGAGGCGCGTGCAATACATTGAAGATGAGGAGAGGCTGAAGATGATAGGTCATACCACTGATGTCATTCCTGACACCCCACAACATCTCTGAGTTTGATGGCAGATACATGAGAGATTTTGAGGGTGAGATCATCATGAGACCTCTAGATGACTCCCGCCAGCATGCAGTTGTCAACTATTCCAAGAGTTGAAAGCTGGTGGAAGAGGCAAGGGGGATCAATCCCTTGCAGTGCGTAAGGATTTAGGCATTAATTACAGATTCTGGAATGAGTTTTATTCTAACTTTTATGCCACTGCCATTCTTGCATCCAAGAAAACCAAGATCATCAAGATGTAGTATATTGATTGGGATGAGATGCAGGAGAAGGAGGAGCTTGAGTTTGATAAGGTAATCAAAATTTGTGACAGGTTCCAGCTTTCAAACATCATGGGTTTCCAATATAACTAGAATGAGGAGGTCCTTGCATAGTTTCATGCACATACTTCTTTGACCAGACCTTTGATGAGATTCACTAGATGACTGATGGTCGGCACTACCGAGTTGACTTTGTCACTTTCAACCGGATTCTTGGCTTTGGGGAGGAGCACAGAGGTTACAATTACATTCATGATGAGCCTCAAGCTGAGATCCGTGACATCAGTTATATGTGGAGAGATAGAAGGATTGCAGATGACAAGAGGAGTGGTCTACATAGCTTCTATTACATCCTCAACAACCTCATTAGGAACACCATCAACCCAAAGGATGGAGCAGCCTTAGATATTAATGGCTATGTGAGAAATATGTTGGCCAGATTTGCTCTAGGTGGGGACAGGTTCAATGTCCTTAGATTCATGTGGATTGCGTTGAGATTTGCAATGGAGGATGGGAGGAGGGGGCTGCCCTATGCCCCTTACCTCATGTTCATGATTGAGAGGGTCACTGGATTTTATTTTTTGAAGGATGTGATGCACACTGTCTACAAAATTGAGAAGACCCAGCTAGCTATAGCTACTCAGGGAGCGGGGAGCTTTCATGCTCATCTAGATATCCCTAAGTCTTCTGGCTCTAGCTCTCGCAGAGGAGGCAAGATGAAGAAGTTTGGCAAGTGGTTGAAGGCAATCTTCGACGAAGTGCACCTATGCAGCTGACAGAGCGTATGAGACACAGCTTGAGCAGCGTCAGCAGCATGGACAAGACCTTCCACCACTTCCTCCTATTCCACCTCCTCCATAGTATGACCTTCTGAGTCTCTCTGACACAGATTCAGATGATGAGGATGGTGATGAGGAGGATGAGCAGCAGGGACGAGCAGCAGATTGGGATGAGACCCTAGAGGGACACCGTTAGAGATAGGAGCCAAGGAGTTCCACTCGTTCCACTTGCTACACCACCACTACTCACCGTCAAGGCCGTGCACGTATTGACTCCGACGACGATGATGGTGATGGTGGTGCTGGGATTACTGCAGGAGGTACTAAGGCTACAGGAGGTGATGATATTGATTGGATGGACATCTAGGAAGATGACGAGTAGGTGTTGATCTTTCTTCTTTTCTTCTCTTTTTGGTGCTTTATGCCAAAAGGAGAGAAAATTAGAGGGGTCAACAACTTTTCGACGCCATGGTCAGCAGCTGTGCTTCATGTCCTATTCGATGAGTGTTAGTCTTTGCTAGGTGGAAAGTTTGAGATTGCTAGGTGAAAAGTTTGAGAGTCGCTCAAAACTTTAAATTGTGAAATAATGCTACTATTTGACTTTTTGTGTGGGATATGAACATATATTAATCTATGTTGTCGCTTGTGATAGAATTATGCTAGAATATATATCTTTATATGTATCACATGATGTATGGTGTCTGTTCTGATCTATGCTGTTACAGTAAGTGCGGCTGTGCCGTACCTAGCTGCAACAACAAACCATGTTGTGCATAAACTATCATTTGCATCACGTTTTACATACCTGACACAATATGCAGCATCCCACACGAGCATGGATGTAGGGGGAGCCCCATCACTTTCACTAAAATATGAATCTTGGCTTCTTATGCCAATTTGAGAATTCAATTCTCTATTTACATACTTAGGGGGAGGCTCTACATTCATGGCTCGAAAGTCTCAGTATTTATTTCATATCTTTTGTAACCTCTAATTGGGTTGTCATCAATCACCAAAAATGGAGAGATTGAAAGTGCAATCAAGCCTTAATTGTAGGTTTTGGGGATAATGACCACGCAATTAGAGAACTAATGAGATTTATCGAGATGACAAGCAGGGAATTTATATTCGAGGATGCTACATGAAATGGAGGAGCCCCCAATTATAAATGTAGATGGCTTCAAACTCAAAGGAGATTTAAATTCTTTTATATATTGAATTTGAGTATAGGAAAAGCTATACTATAAAGGGGGGCACAATGCTTAAGCTAATATGTGCTACCAAGTGCTCAAACAACTACATGCATCCTCAGATTCACAGCCAAGATAGTCTACACTTCACTATTACCCATTGCTGTCTTGCGTGGTGTGGCACTGCCGCACTTGAAGAGAGGCTCGCCCGACCCCTTGGGTGCGAGCTCCGGTTCGCCCAACCCCTTGGGTGCGAGCTCCCGTTCACCCGACACCTTGGTCGCGGGCTTCGGTTCGCCCGACCCCTTGGTCGCGGGCTCCGATTCGCCCGACCCCTTGGTCGCGGGCTCCGGCTCGCCCGACTCCTTGGTCGTGGGCTTCGTCTTGCCCGACCTCGAGGCCGCAGGGTTTATCTCGCCCGACCCTTAGGTGCGGTGTCCATTGTGGGCCGGAGGTATATATATACCTTTCTCTTTCCTCCCCAACGGCTATCTGCGATTTAAGTGACCATTGGGGCCTGGGGGGTATATATACCTTTCCCCTTCCTCCCCAACGGTAACGAGCTCTCTTCTTCCTCACTTCAGCATTCCCAAAACAGAGCAGGAGCTCTCTCTCACTCCATTGTTGACCTTAAGCCCTCAACCAAATCTATTGATTTTCTATCAATCCTTGAGGAAAAAGGGTCCCAAACTCGATTAGAGAGCAGCTCCATTGATTCCTAAACTCTAAAGAGCACTTGATTCACGTTTTGGCCGACGATTGTATTTGTTACTCTTGAAGCTTGGCTCCTAACTGGCTAGAACGTCGTCCGTGGAGCTTGCCAACTTGTGTGGCAGCTCCGGGAGGTTTGTAACCATCTCTTGAAGCTAGTAAACTCACCCCTCATCTCAAGAGTTAAGTCTCTTGACTTGAGAACGAGGAAGGGCTGGAAAGCTCTAAACCTTAGTGGCTAACCTCAACAACGTAGAGATAGGCAAGCCTGGGTGGCGAGCCAAACCACGGGATAAGTCATTGTGTCACTTGTGCTTGATTTACATTACTTGCATGACATATTGTTGATTGAGGTGATTTCTAGAGTTTAATGCTGATCTACTTGTGTGTGGTGTTTCCACCACTTTCAGCTGTCGATCTGTGATCTACTACCATGCAGGAAGCTAAGAAATTTACGCAATCTAAATTTTGGGGGGTAGATTTTAAATTATGAACTAATCTCTCCTGCAGGTGCGGCAGTGCCGCCCTCATAGAGCGATAGTACCGCGGGTGAATTTGACTTCGGTTTGAGTTGAATTTTTACAAACCTATTCACCCCCTCTAAGCGTTCCAGTGATCCTACACTTTCTTTGATCCAAACAAGTGTAGCTAATAGTTTAGTTGATTGTTAGCTGAATACTCCACTAAAAATTCACTAGTTGAAACAAAATAGTAAAATAGCAGCGGATAATAGCTGTGACCAATTAGCTAACTAACTATTAGCAACTAATAGTAGATACAAACAGGCCTGAATACCTAGGATCATTGTGACCTAACAGTATTTGTTGCAATAGCCACAACCGCAACCAGCGAATAGCCCCTAAAATGTTAAACCCACGAAAAAGATCCATTTTACCTTACGAAGTATCCGTGTGTTCTGATTAGCTCGCATGTGGCCTAGCCCACGAGATAAAATGGACCTTTTTCTAAACCCACAATTAGCCCGCATGTGACCCAGCCCAAGACTTCTCAGCCCAACCCATTACCTTTTTTCTTCCAATTAGACCTTATTTAGATCCAGGGTGTAAAGTTTTGGGTGTCACATCGGATTTTATCTGGAGGTGTTGCATAGAGTGTTCGGATACTAATAAAAAAATAAATTACAGAATCCACCAGTAAACCGCAAGACGAATTTATTAAACATAATTAATCTATCATTAGCACATGGGTCCCTGTAGCACTTTATTATCAAATCATGGATTAATTAGGCTTAAAAGATTCGTTTAGTAAATTAGTCGTAATCTGTGTAATTAATTATTTTTTTAATATATATTTAATACTCATAAAACATTCGACATAACCCGTGTAAAGTTTTGGCGGAGGATCTTCAAGGGCTTGGTCCGGCTCAATTACGGGGCAAATCTCTGACAGGAAAATTATCAGTCCAATCATACCCCAGCACGAATTCTGGGAGCCGCCGCAATCCTCCTCCCCGTCTCCTACCTTCGTCGGTGCTCTCCCCCGCCGCCGGCCGCCATCCGCCCAGAACGGCGCCCCAGCCCGCAGCCCATCGCGCGTTCCGCTCCCTCTCCAACCCCAACGAAACCCCAGGGGCACACTCATCCCCCTCTCCTCCTTCACTGGGGCCAGACATGGTCAGTACAGCACGGCCACTCCGCCCCTCTCGATTTCTCTTGCTGCCGCTTGCGTGCTTGCTCCGGCTCCGAATTCGTGTGTCTCACCTCGTTACTGTGCGCAGGAGAGCAAAAGGCAGTGGGGGAAGGCGCCCCAGGAGGCGAAGGGCGGAGGCGGCGGTCACCAAGTGGATCTAGATGAAGAGGATGACCTGGAGGAGTTCCGGCTGCCCATGAGCCACCGCCCCACCGAGAACCTCGACACGGAGGGGCTCGAGCAGGCCTCCGTCCACACCCAGCTCACCGCGTCCAACGTCGGCTTCAGGCTGCTGCAGAAGATGGGTTGGAAGACCGGCAAGGCAAGAACGAGCAAGGTATCTTCCGTTTGCTGCTATATATGCTCTCTTTTGTTTTGCCATGATTGCTTGTCGGTTCCTATAGCAATTGAGAATCCACGACTAGGAGCTTGTATTATACTTTTCACAGCTGTTGATCCGTTATTGTTTTGGACTAAATCTAATGGCATCCTCATGTTCATGCAAATCATATACCTGCCATGCTTGATACTGTCAGTCAGTTTGCTTATCTGTCGAACATAACACCACTAGTCATGAACTTCTTGGCCCTCAATGATCTTGTCAGCTCAACTGTCTCCAAGTTTGATTGATACTAATGCTCTATCAATAGCTATTCATGCTCCCTTTTCCAAAGTTTCTTTACTAGGGAAAGAATGGATGCCTGTTGTTGTCTATCTTGTTTTAGCAATAACCTTATTAAGCCTTACATTTGCCTTATAATTCGTGGCACAGTAATATTTTCATCTGAACATTTTACACATTTTTGAAATTGTTGTTTCCTTGTACTACAACAAAGGCCCTCTGGAAAGACATACTACCTGCGTCCCTGAATAAATCCATTACTAGAGTTTTCTTAAGTTAAACTTTTTATTGTTTGACCGAATTTTGAGGAAGGATTAACAATATTTATGACACCATGTGAACATATTATGAAAATATATTTCATTGTGTATCTAATGATACTAATTTGGTGTCATAGATATTGGTGCTCTTTCCTATAAATTCGGTAAAACTTAAAAATATGTACAACTCTAGGAATTGATTTATTCAGGGACGGAGGCATTAAGTGCTAATATACCTTTTGCTTTAGCAATGTTCCGCTTCACTTTGCCTAAACTTAACAGGTTTAGGTGCATAGAAATTCCATTTGAGATCTGTCACTTTCTACACCTGGAGCAGAGTTGATCACCAAATATTCACCTCTTATTGTTCAGCTAACTAAATGCGATGATGCTTCTACACCTGTTGAGGATACCCTTCTTTGTTGTTATGCAGGTATACTAGAGCCAATAAGAGCTGACATCAGAGATGCAAAATTAGGTGTTGGGAAGCAAGAGGAAGATGACTTCTTCACATCTGAAGAGAACGTGCAACGAAAGAAATTGAATATTGAACTTGAGGAGACTGAGGAACATATAAAGAAACGTGAGGTATGCAATCTAACACCTGATGCTAGTTTCTGTACATTCTTCAAGGTTTTTTTTTTGTTTTCCCTGGGTGGATGCTTGTTATGCTGGAAACCTAGATCTAGTTGTAAGACCTCTATAGCCTGTAAGTAGCTGAATTTCGTGATGCGAAAATGGCTAGCATCAACCATTAAAGAGTATTGAGCATCTCGTACGCTTTTTATTTGGTGGTTTCTTTTCCCTGCTTGGTGCAAATCATGACAATCCAGGTCATAGCAGAGCGTGAGCACAAAATCCGCAGTGAAGTCAAGGAGATACAGAAGGTGTTCTTTTGCAACCTCTGCAATAAGCAGTACAAGCTGGCTCATGAATTTGAGAGTCACTTGAGCTCATATGACCACAATCATAGGAAGGTAATCCGTTTTGTGCACCCTTCTGACTCTCTTAATGCATTTTATTTATATTTTTAATAATATGTTCATCTGCACCGTTCTGAATACCTTTGTTGCACAGAGGTTCAAAGAAATGAGAGAAATGCATAGCAGCAGCGGTAGCCGTGATGATAGGCAGAAACGTGAACAACAACGAGAAGAGAAGGAGCAGGCAAAAATTGCTCAACTGTATCCATTCATAAATAATTTAAGGATCGCACCAGACTATTCTATGTTATTCTTAAGATATTCATTAGGAATTTTAGGTTGTATGTGGAGCTTGCGATTTCCTTAATGAAGCTTCAGTGCGGATGCTCATAGGAAGCAGCAGCAGCAGGAGAAACAAGAAAAGTCAGAGACAGAAGGTGCTGCACCAAAAAACATGGCAGCCCCTAGAAACCAGGATCAGCGAGGAACCTTGAAGTTTGGATTCTCCAAAATGGCTCCTTCCAAGGTGGATATCTTGAGGATACCATTCAATTTGTTTGCATTTCAGGACTTTCCTCCAAATATTAGCACTAATATATGGTCCCATGACCCATAAATTGTTGAGATGTTGAGTGGCAATTGGCAAATCTTGCAGTGCTGTTGAATTTTGTGGCCACTTCTGCAAAATCTTGTTGAATTGGACTCCATAAAAATTGGATTTTGCTTTCCTAGAACCTCAAATATTTAGTGTTATTGCAGGTTTGACCTGTAATATTGTTTGTTCAAAATATAGACAACAGGAGTATAAATCTACACATTATATGCCTCTACTGTCTTGATTTTTTCTTCGCTGAATTGCAACTCTAAATAAGTGGTCATTTTCTGAATTTATTGAACGTTTCATTTTTACAGCAACGCCTATGCCTATATTGTTAAGTTGACCACATTTTCATTGCAAGTACAGGTTCTAGTTGGCAGTGCCAGCAAGAAGCCAAAGGTGGCTACAAAAGTTTCTTCGGTCTTCGGTAATGAGAGTGATGAGGACTCGTGATCTTTGCCAGAGGGTGGTAGTGCTTACATGGAAAACAACATCAAAGGACCATGAGAACGTGAGGTGCCATGTATGTATCACCTTCTGTTGTGCCACTGGCTTGGCCCCCGCTACGAATCCTGGCATCATCTCAACAGCCTCATATGAACAAACTGGGACTTGAAAACAGCACCACGAGTTGTATGAACTTTTGAGGGTACGTTGTACAAGGAAATCTGTATTGTTCTTGCTGGATTTTGAAAGCCACTTATAACCATTTGTCCTTGTAGGCAGACAATGCCCTTCAATTTGGGACACACCTTTGTAGTCTGTACTATCATTGTTGGCTTTCAATGTAACACCTTTGTATTAGATGCTACTGTTGAGTCACATTTTGTGTGTTGGGGACCTTTAGTTGGTTGCCCTCTTTTGTGGATACAGGGGCACAGCTTCAGTTTTAGTTCCTTTTGAACAAATTCATGTGATTATGCTTCGGTTTGAGTTGAGTTGCATAAACTTGCACTTTCAATAAAACTGCCATGAGTTAGCTGTTACAAAAATGACATTTTTTTTTTCAAAAATAAAGTGGAAGACAATCAAAGTGCAAATGGATGGACCATGGAGCCCATGAGGGAGCAGTTGGCCGGCTGGATCTGTGGTCTTGTGGTCCATGAGAAGCGATGCATTTACAGGTAACCATGCTTCTTCAGAGAAGAGAGTTACTCGCATACATGTGGATGGCCTGCATCATGCACCTTTACTCCTCACACCTCGACAAGTTATTGCACAGCACAGATCTGTGGCATGGCCATTTGCATGCAGCAGCAAGTCAGTGCGTGCATTGCAAGCATGTCAGAACCAGTGCAATCAGGTAGGTATATACACATCATCCAAAGATGATACTCCAATCGAAATTCAATTATTATTGGTATTGTTGCTTGCTGCTATTGTTTGCTTTCTCTGACAAGTACGTTTTAGAAGAGTTTAGCAGATTGATCTCATCTGGTGGATTGGTCCCTGTGTCACATTTTCTCCTCCGTTTTTATCTTCTCTGTGGCTGTTTCTGTTTGTATTCAGACACACAGAGGGAGAGCTGGACCTGTATTGCATAATGTTTGGTTGGGGTCTGTTGTGGAATATGGGGCCATGCGAAACAGCTGCTAGCTCATCCTGAAGATGCCGCATACCTACCTAGTCTCCCTCCTCTCTTCACTGTTGCTTTCAGTTCCATAAACATGTATATGTGATGATGCAAGATCTGAATCTGACAAATCATGCCATGGTTAGTCAAGCACAATTTGGCATCATAGCATGTTAGCATTGTAGTATTAATCCGCAATAAATCGTCTTTCAGGCAAGCATATAGATAGCTCCAACAGGGAGATGATTACTGTAGTTCAATTGATAGGTTGCAATGTGGCATGGACCAATGAAGACTGAAGTTTGATTGATAGTCATGATATATGATTATTTCACCTTATATATTGCTATTGTTCAGACTTTAGATGCATCTTTTGTTTATGTTTTCACAACTGTTACGCTATTTTGCAACATTATATTATTGCATTGCATGATATTAGGTGACCATGTGTGCAATGCTGTCCTTGCACAAGTTCAGGCCACAAGGAGAACTTCCAAATACAAATCTCTCCCTGTGGCCCAGCAAAACTGTACCATCTTTTTCGTTTATTCTCTTTGTTACAAGACAAACCATTTCATCTCTAGTTGCATGCATGCATGGTCCTTCATCAATAATAGTGTGGGTATAGAAGAATGCATGGCCGGCCAGACAGCGAAAAACTTTTGTAGAGAAAAGCAAATCTGCAAAACAAATCAGACATTGCTTGAGGCCTTGAGGCGAACTATATATAGACAAGAAATTGCCAAATTTTCATGATGACGAATTTATTCGTTGCTGGATCTCTGGTTGATCCAAAATTGTAGCAAGTGGTGGGACACTGAAGCAGGGCAGTGGTTGGACTTGGACATGCATGGCAGCATCTGCCTAGCTCTAGCTAGTGTTGTGCTCTGGACCCTGCAGGAGTAGCTAGCTAGTAGTAGGATTGACATACATTATTGGATAATCTGGTTGAGCTTCCTCCAGCATAGCATGAGAGAGTTGCTAATTCTGTACTAAAAAGATATGCTGTTCTCAGTACAGTTTTAAAAACAAAACAAGATACACACCATATGTGAGTCCAGAAAGTCAAATCTCACATATAACTATAAATAAGGGTAATATCGAAAGATAATGCTCAATATATAACGTACTTAGTATAAAGGATATAACCTTAGACAGTAGACAGTAGAAAGACAACTCCAGTCTTCGGGTGAAGAGTCCAATCCACAGGGACAACTGACTGGTTGATCACAAGCCTAACTCCTCCAGACTAACAATCTGGTACCCATTCAGGTTTTTTTCAAAGATTTAAAAAGTAAAGCAAGCGTAAGTATATGTCGTACTCAACAAATATAACATAGGGTTCATGAGGCTCAAAAAGCTGACACTGGTTCAACTACGATTAGCTTTTAATTGTCACAATTTTAGCATAGGAGTAGCACAAGTTTATCACAAGCCGATAAACACATGATCAGGTAAACATGAATAATGAATAGCATAAACAGTAATCATTAATGAGCATCTTTATCATCAGTGTTCATCATCTATTCCGTAAATGTTCCAAGGCTGCTCGTGACCATGACCACCGCTGATATACCAGTTTTACACTCTGCAGAGGTTGTACACTTTCACTGTGAGTCATGATTTAACCTTTCGCCCGAGGTGATCAGCCTCTTGACCCACCACCAAGGAAGGTCGGCAGGGTTCACTATAAAGCCTTTCAAAGGTTCGTCTAACAAGGCCTTGTTTAGATTGCAAGTTTTTTCACTCTCTCTCCATCACATCAAATCTTTAGACACATACATAGAGTATTAAATGTAGATAAAAAAAAACTAATTACACAGTTTGATTGTAAATTACGAGACGAATCTTTTGAGCCTAGTTAGACCATGATTGGACAATAATTGTCAAATACAAACAAAAGTGCTATAGTGTCAAATACTGATTCCTAACACTCATCTAAACAAGACCTAAGTTAGGGTCACTAGATTCACTCGGCAAACAGATGTAGGAACCCCTCTTCCCGATGGCACAATGACACGCAACCTATACACAAGGGGACAGAGGCTGTCCTATACCCGATTCGGCAAGCTATCCTTAGTCTTTCCTTTGATGAGCCTAGCGTCAACCATATTTTGATCTCCTAGGAAAGGATTATCATCAACTTTTATTTTTCGAGGCGTATCAAATTTGAGCCTCCCTTGCTGAATTGCCCTCTGTATATGCTGTCGGAAGATTCTGCATTCATTAGTGGAATGAGAAGTAGCGTTATGGAACTTGCAGAACTTCTTATTCTTCAACTGATCAGGGGACAACATAACATGATTATCGGGCAACTTGATCTGTCCCTTCTCAAACAAGAAATCGAAGAGCTTGTCTAATTTTGTGACATCAAAGTCATAGCTCTCCTCGACTCCTCTTCCCCAAGGATTTGGCACCATTACGGTCTTTTTGCTCCAATTCCATTCAGCCGCAGCAACCTCTTCCTCTTCATCTTCATAGCCGTCATCGACTGAGTATGGATTATAAGCGTCGGCCACTGTGGTACTCTTCTGGAATCGGGTATCTCTACGCATACTTTGGAATTGGCCATTGAACGCTGCCACTCGTTGAGCCAATTGACCCAAGTTATCAAATTCTTGTCCCAGCTGTTTCTCTTTCCACATTGACAGCATTCCTTGAACAGCTAAAGCAGCTAGTTGATCATCAGCCAAGTTTAAGAAGAAGCATAAGTTCCAAGTTTCTCGGAACCTCTGAAGAAACTCAGTGCCCAATTCATTAGTCTTCTACCTTATAGTTGTCAGATCGGTAATCTTCTTTTCTCCAGTCCCAGTATAAAAATATGTATGAAATTTCTTCTCGAGGTCAGCCCAGTTGGTAATGGAGTTGACCGGCAATGATGAAAACCAAGTGAAGGCTGGCCCTGACAGGGACAAAGAGAAGAAACAGACTCGATGAGCATCCTCAACTGATGCCTTGCCCAATTGCATAAGATGCCGACTGACATGTTCTATCGTGCTTGTACTGTCTTGGCCAGTGAACTTAGCAAACTCTGGGAGCCTGTAATTTGTGGGAAGAGCGACCAAATCATACCATTCTAGATATGGGTGTTTGTACGAGAAGGTCAGCCCTTTTGGCTTCAGACCGAACTGATTCTTCATCATCTCGGTCACCTTTAGCAATAACTCGTCAGCATGTGAATGTGGATTTCCCTGCACCTGCTGACCCATCTGTGGATTGAAATCCCATGTGCCTTGATACCCTGGATTCAGAATCATGTGAAGGGTGTTATAATCTGTGCCATAATGATACCCTTGTGGAATCTCTATCTGCTAGGTCCTTTGCTGGCTTGCTGCTTGAAGTCTCTGGTTATAGACATGGGGATCTATATCTCTACAGATCCTTTGAATTGATGGTGCTATTTTTTGAGCCGACGACGGTATGTGGCCTGATGTGCCAAAATTGATCACCTGGTTCTGACCTTGCCCCGCCGGCTGTTGCACATGCTGTACTGATGGTCCAGGATTATATTGTATCTGATTCGTAGTAGTACCTTAAGCTTGTTTAGATGAACCATGAACTACCTGGACATCACCATTACCAGCTGGTGCTGCTTCTTGATGGCTAGTACCAACTTGATTAGTCCCTTGGATCGACGGATCTGGAATGTTGTAATAAGCCAGCCCAACTTGACCAACTGGAAACCCATGAATCGCTTCTTTCATGGCGTTGTGGAATGTGTCCAAGAAAGCTTTATTATGGCTTGACATGGCATCACGAACAGATTTGTCTATAATTTCCGTAAAGAAACGCCTGTCTTCAGCTTCAACTGTATCTGTCTGCCCGTGTAATAGAACTCTTGGTAGTGGAAATTTCTAAACAATTGTGTTGTCACGTGTTT